TTGAGAGGAGTGGGGGGGGATAAAGGGTGGACCTGGACGACTGCAGTGTCCTTGGCCGTCTCTCCTCAGGGGACATATAAAACCCACTGAACAGTGACACAGGACACACTAACCACAGAGCGGACATTATTGTTCCTGATATACCAACCCAATAAATTATTATTGTAATAAGCACATTTCTTTTATCAAACGAAAAACTTAATTATCTACATTATAGTTTATGCCTCAGGCACCTGGAGGGGCAGTTAAGTAATTGGTGTTGGAAAGCAAATTAGAAATAATTTTCATTAAATATAATTAAAAGTGAATGGAAATAATAAAACGAAGGGTTTTGATCGTATGTAAGCCTATATTCATGGCTCATTTGTGTTAATGCTATGGAAGTAGGTGACTATGTTTGTATAGGACCTTTTGGGTATTTCATTGACAATAAATAAAGACAAGGTGTCTTTAAGCCGGGAACTGAGTATATAAAATCCTTTTTTAATGTTCTTATTGATGCTTGGGACAAACTGTGTATTTATTATGTTGTGTGGATGTGGCAAATTATAAAGAAAGGGGGCAGTTTGGACGTATCCTAAGATTTAAAATGTCTGCTGCAATAATCTTCCAATGCTTAAAAAAATATCTATTTCATAAAAATATGACATACATTTTAAAATGCTGATGCCTTTTCACTACAATCTCTAATAGCATTTATGACCTAAGCCTTTTGTTGTTGTTGGTTTAGAATGTTTTACATGTTTCAACTGCATAATAATTCATGCAAATTTGCGCCGAAGATCGCAATAAGCATTTTCACAGACTAATGGTTGGATCCACAATACAATGAGGAAAGAAAAGGAAGCCTTTTTCCTCATTAACCAACGAGCTGTTGACATTTTCCCAAATCCATCTACTTAATCTAAAACTAAACTAAGAAATGGACTGATTATTCAATCCATGGGGATTAGATTGGAATCGATGTAACACCAGCTAATGGGATGTGTACACAGTTGAGCCATTGTCAAAGTTTCTGTCATATAGGAAGATAATATAGAGAGCAAGGTTTTTTTACTACACAATAAATTAACTGCAAATAAAGGGTACCTGTGGATCCCACCGACCAGGTGATGTTCAGGTTAAAGTTGTTGGATGCGTTAATGGACATGTCCAAGTTCTTGTTAGCCTTCAGACAGAGAACACAAAACATGAATGTAATTAAACATAGAAAAAAACTGAGAATATCATTCACACAAACACAAGAGCCTTAATATAAAGTAGATCTAAAAAGCCTAGGTACAGGGAATGACACTATTTGAGACTTGAATCATTGATGAGCTGTTCCAGAGTCTGAGTGCAACTCTGACATCTTGATTATAATGAAGAAAGATCAAAAACTCTGAAGGTGTCAGTGTGTGACTACAGGATATAGTTACCTGCTCAGGTGAGGCCATGAAGTTGATGGCGGTGTAGTGATTATCATCTTCCTGGATGAGACTGAAGGTGAACTGGTAGTCTATCAGGAGGTTGTCTGTTTTGGAAATGATAAAAACAAAGTTCTCATACCTGGCTCACATTACTAGAGACTACTATGACAAGATGAATACATAGAGATGTACGCAATGTGATATGATCAAAAGAAAAACCAATAATAAACTGCATGAAGGAGACAAGTGAAATCTAAATGTCTGTAATCAAATCCAATGACGGCAATCAGGTTGCACAATTTTCTCATCAAGCAGAGAACGAGAACCTGACAGCGGGCTCTAAAACTCCCCTGCAGCGATTAATGAAGTTACAAATTATTTATTAATAGTGGTCACACACTAATTGACTACATTCTGAGTCAGTATTAAGTATAAGTAAACACACATGAGATATATTGACCAATATATTTTGGATTATATCACACTTAAATGGATTTAATAGGGCAGTAGATGTTTTCTTTTTACAGTATAAAAGAATATAATAATAATTTCAGCACTGTTTTTATAAATACAACTATTTGGATTCAAGTGAATAGGTTGGAGTAAACGTGTTGTTCCCATTTGAAACTTGCCTGGGAGAATGATCAGCTAACTCATGATTCATTAGCTCTGGCAGAAGTGTCTGGTCCCCCTCCGCTTTGGAAAGATGTCAGCAGTCTGAGACAAACTGGGTAAATCTCAACCGTTTATCTGATATGGGCTGTGTTTGAGATGTAGACCATAAAGAGGTCTATTAAAGCCACCTTTGTAAATGCATTCTATGTACATACCTGTACGAACAACTTAAGATAGCTATTAACTGCATTAAAAGCTTTTCTTGAGAAGACTTTTTTTTTAGGTCAAACATTTGGCAAAAGGTTAAGTAGCTCAGATTATATTAATAATGCAAGTCCCGCCCTGATGTGATGTGATTGGCTGGTACACATTTTCTGTGATTGGTCATCTATACCGGTGAGACTTTTTTATCGTTGTTCAGCGCTACGTCACATGGTAATGACTCTTTGATCACGGCGCGTGTAAATTGTAAATTGAACAAAGACATTCAATTTGCATTTGCAATTTTGTTTTTATTGTTTACCTATGTGCTGAATTTCATTATAGATCAAAAAAAACTTAAAAAACAACAATAAAGAAAAGTAAATGTGTAAGTGGTTCTTATATCAACAAACGCAATTGTCATGTATCAAGTCTGTTTATGTGATTTTTCAGCATCAAACGTTCATTCGAATTGACCTGGCATTTCCTCCCATTTGATACACACTGTGAAGTAGCTGGATTACGTCACTGTGAGATCATCGTGTTTATCCACGATGCTCAATGGCCTTTCAGATAGTCAGGGGTGTCATGTTTACAATACTGAGTAACAGAGCTCAAGAGAAAGTCCCAGAGGTGTGCAGAGGTTAAAGCCGGCTCCAGGCTTTTTAGTTCCTGCCTCCCCCGTCATTGAGCCCGGTGTCAGGCTATGGCATTTCAAAAAAAGGGACAAAAACTTGGCAAAGGCTCTGTTGTCAGTGGCAGAGTGTTGAAAGAGATGCATACCACAGCACCGTGAAGGACACCACATCATGTAAACAAACCCCAACATGTACAGAATACACAGAAACACTGGCACAGATTTACTCGTCAGCACTGGATGTCAATTTCTTTTTTTCACTCGCTTTGATATATATTTTCCTTTTTCCTCTCACTCAAGTCAAACTGACATTAAGTCAACTTTATAAATTAATGAATGAGTAGGTGGGTGATTGAGGGAGTGAGTCGTTGAGCGGAGAGTTTTTACTCCTCCGTCTCCTTGATTAGCTCAATCACTCACTCCTTCTGATGCACTTGACATTTTCACGACAAGTCATTCTGTCAGTGAACAAGCGCCCCTGGTGCCAAAGTGCTAAAATGCTCCATCTGCCCTTAACGCAAAAGTGGAAGTGTAGAGACGGAGAGAAAGATAAGCAGAGAGAGAATTGCCGAGAATAATCGTGTGTGTGTGTGTGTGTGTGTGTGTGTGTGTGTGTGTGTGTGTGTGTGTGTGTGTGTGTGTGTGTGTGTGTGTGTGTGTGTGTGTGTGTGTGTGTGTGGTCTCTGTACAGTGCAGAATTACTCACAGTAACAGGTTCCTCTGAGTGGATTGCCAAGGTAACGGTTTTCTGAGTCACATCTGCAGAGAGGGAAACAGAGAGGAGAGAACAAGATGAAGGAGAGAGGTGCTAACAGATTGAGAGCAAGAATGCCTTCTTATCAGGAGCTGTGTTTGCCAAGTGCCAGCGCATTAGCTCCTGCTGTCGGCGCCTCATCAAGTCTCTTCTTCTGACAAAGAGGTAATAATCTGATAGTTAGCAAAAGTTAATTAGTTTTTTTTTTTCTTTTGTGTGCAACTTTTATTTATCCAAGCAACTTAAGTGCCATGAAACAAACTTTACCTGATCCCAGCGCACAGAGAGAAGCATCTTAAAGTACTACATGTAATCCGTTATGTCCTTGGAGCCAAAAGCAGAGTTTATGTAAATGAATTCCTACTTGATTAGTTGAGTTGTATAGCAGCAAATTAAGATGTGAAAGAAAAAGAAAACATATCAACAATTAAGGTGAACCCTTTAAAAGCATCAGATAAGTGATTACATCTAGTGAGCTATGCTTACTTCATATTAGAGGCAAGAAAGAGCCAAGGGCGAGTTTGACTTTGTTTCACACTTCAGGCTTGATATTCAGAACTCAGGGTGAACATATTCACAATGCTCACAGCACATGGCTGGTTTGCCTTGGTTTGCAACATTAATTAGTTTTGATTCTCACCTCCATTCATAGCAATGTAGTTGAAGATCAGTGGATTTATATCACAGCATTCAGGTATAGAATATCCCTTAATCAGTATTAGAACTGCTTTAAAAAAACTATTTAAATAGCCTGGTAAAGTGCAACTTAAATGCAATGTTGAAAAAGAACAAAAGCAAGACCTAAACATTAACATAACCTACTTAAAATGTGTTCAAAAACTTAAATAACTCCCAATTAGGAATAGATTTTGACAATAGGTATTTTCTGGCAGCTGTTAAAGGTAGGGTATGTAAGTTTGAGAAACCGGCTCGAGATCGCTATAATTTGAAAATACACAACCGGAGAAAATCTGCCACTTCCCAAAAATAGTAAACATTATTCATCAAAACACAAATTAATTTTCTTTCTTTTTTCATATGTAAAGTGTTTGACTTGTTGTACGTAATAACAATCACCATCTTTCCGTAAAAATAACATTAGTTTTACAGAGACTCGTTTGTCCCGTCTTAACAGAGCAATACAAACGGTGCGGGAGGGACAGATGAAGTATAGAAACTAGTGTTTCAAATACTAATTCTCGAAACCCAAGTCACGTCTACAATTTCCATCCCATACTTGAAACTCTTTGGGCCGAGGTCTCTATGGTGAAAAACATATAAGTACCTTACGAGAATTGTAGGGCTATCGGTTTTACTTAGATTTGCACGAAGACTGTTTCTTAAGTATTGTTTTGACAGTGAGACACCTTCGGCATCGCGCATTTATTCGTGCTGGTTAGTAAAATCGGCCGGGCCGATTTCATTGACCATACCGGGATGGACGGACAGTCGGAAGGTAGTACACGTGTTTGAATTAGGCACCGGGAGTAACCAGTACACCGCGCAAGCAACACACAACCTCTCCCCG